TAAGAAATTGGAAAAAGCTCACAGTAAAACAACGACAAGTGAGTGTAAAAGTGGGCCTTCTGGCCAGAAAGAAGAAAACAACAGCGGTAACAAGTTTTGCCCAATGCGCACCTTCCCCCTTGCTTCTTCCCTGGCTTCCTATTCACTTTTCTCCTTCTTTCCCCCACCCATGCGCAGGTCTAGCACAGTGAAGGCATTTAAGGATTTGTGAACAGATAAACTAATATCCCTGATTTCTGGCTTCTCTACAAACAGATAAAGTTGTGACTGAAGAGCCAAAAATGAACAGAAATGTAAATTAAACTCACACATACACTATACTCCTTCCTTCTTTGTTCCCAACTGTCATTCAACAAAATAGACAATGATAGAGCGACTTGCTTCCCTGTCCCTAAAGCTTTATTCCATAAATGATTTCCTTGGAGTCATTTCCTTCCTCCAGGAGCTAAGTTATTTTTGATATAGAATCTTTTATAGCAATCCCATACATCCTTACAGAAAGATGTTCAGTGCTTGAACCTCAGTGGCCCTCTCCCTATCCACACACAGATTTTTAAGATTTTCATTGCAGAGGGCCGGGGATTTAGCTTAGTGGTGCTGCCACCTGCCTTGCAAGCACAAGGTCTGAGTTCAATCCCTCGCACCAAAAAAAAAAAAATTTTTTTTCATTGCAGAGACACTATGTATGTGTCCAGTCCACAAACACTATGCTCCTAGAACCATACCTCTCACGGACCCTGACAAGCACATGTGTGACAATATTATTCTCATACCTCCCACCACCCCCAACCAAGGCTTCTAGAACCCCTGAGACAAGGTAGACAATCAGATTTTCTCACAGGTTAGGAAAATAGGGACTCCAGAATGTTATTCAAGCCTCTGCTCATTCTGAAATAAAACCAGAAGTGGCCATTATTGGGCAGCCATCTTAAGCTATGTATGTGAAATACCAGCAAAAGCTGGATTGGAACAAGAGAGGGGAAGAAATAAAGAACATAAGCAAAGAAGCAAAAACAGAGACCATAAAGTACAAAGAAGGAACACAGCAGCTGTCCTGGATATTAAAGACTTTCTAGATGATGGCTCCAGTCCTCTAACTACATTTCCTGCTCTTGGGTCCTGAGAGATATCCTGATCTTCACAGTCTATCCCATCTCTGCAGAAAATAGCTTGTGACTAGGAATGGAATTCCTGACATCACATGAGAAGGGGCAGCCAAAACTATTATTGCTAAAGAGCAGGGAAATAAACCTACTACCTTGCCACCTACTTTCCTTTATTCATAAATGCTGTGCCATTTCATCACTCCTCTGTATTATTGCCGGGAAAGAAAGGATCTGTCTGCTTGCAATGCAACCCTCCCAATGCTGGGGTCCATGGCCAGTGGGGGTCAGAGATCCTAACAACCAACCCTGTTGATACAGACTTTTCTAAAAATAACCACAGGAAAACCCTGGCATAGACTCCATTTATTCGTCATATGTACTCAACGGATTCACTTCACTGGAGTCCTTTCCTTCTTTTTTTAATAAAAATTGAGACTTATGTGTGAACTAGAGGGTCCTACAAAGATATATGTGAACGGAAGTACCCCCTGCTCCTGCACAGCACCCCACAGAGTGAACATACTATAAACATCTTCGGAGTAAATGAAAGGATGACAAGCAGGAAAGTTTAAGACCACAGACGCGAGTCAGAGAGAGATCCAGGTCACACTCTCAACTCACATTTAAAGCCTTCATGCTGACAAAGGCTCAGAATTCTGCTTAACAACTTTTTATGTACATTGCAGTAGTTCATGTTCCTTCCCCCCAAAGCTCTATCTAAGGCATTATTTACACTTTCTGAAACCTAAGCAAACTCATAATGTTTGGAATTAACTTCAAGCCTAAACCCCTAGTACTTTTCATAAGCTGCTTGTTATCAACTTTGAGACTTTGGGCAAATTATTTAAGCCCTCAATTTGTTAAGATTGTGATTCTGAAGATTAAGATGGTATCCATACAGTGCTTAACACAGTGCCAGGCAGAGCAAAACTGCTCAACACAAAGTAAAGTATTCATATTATTAATAGAGTTATTCAAGGGCAAATCTACAGTGAAATGCTTTAAGCAGAAGGACTTTTGGTTCTATAAATTACACGTACACTGGAAAACAGCCATTTACAAGATCTAGGCAGCCAAAGAAAAAGCAGCAAATTATAACCAGTATTTATCTTGGATAGAATCTGAAATCTCCCCAAGGGAGTAACAGATAAGAAAGCCTTTGCTAGCTTGAAAGCAATGACCATGCTTGAAGTTAGGGGGCGCCATACTGCTGTACACTGCTGTGCTGTTCCCCAAGGGTCTTTAGCACCCTAGATTTTTCTCCAAGGAAAATCAGGTAGACAAATTCTGGCCAATAACTCTTTTTGGCAGCGAAATGGACCACCTCATAGTTCTTCCTGTATTCTTCCACTATTTTGATTTTAGGTCCAGTACATATTCTTGTTCATCCCCACCGTATGTATTTGCTATTACTTCCTTGAAATATAGGACATTATTATATTATTCAATGACCTTTAAAAGTCTAGCAGAAGGGCTGGGTAAGATTTAGCTCAGTGGTGCTGTCGCCTACCTTGCAAGCGCAAGGTCCCGAGTTCCATCCCTTGTACCAAATAAATAAAAGTCCAGCAGAAACACCAAAAAAAATTATTAAGGTGTATGCATCCATGAGCATAACCTCAAGAAATTTACAAACAAGTGGTCTAACTAAATGTATACACCAGCAATTGCTGAAGCTGTGACATTAGCTTCTCTACATTTGTGTGTATTTTAAATTTTCCTCAATGAAAGGTTTCTACTGAAAACCTGCTTACAGGACCCGGCAAAAACCTGGGTCCATCTGTATCACTACTCTGGGAAGCAACACGACACAAAGGACTTCAATGAGGGAGGAAAAGAAAGTAATGGGGGGGTTAAGGTGAAAGTAACATAAATCATATAGAAATGGAATGTGTTTCTATACATTGAATGAGAGACCTGAAGCCACAGATTCCTTTATTCAAGCAAATCAAACTTTTTGTTTGGTTTTTATTATACAAATTATTTGCTGAGGCTTGGTTTGCATTTGGCTCTATTTGGCCAGGGAATGTTCTAATCTGGAGGTAATTTTTCTACAGGGCAAGAATGAAGTGCTTTAGGCCAAAATAGCCAAATACAGCTGAACTCTGGGAATAAGCAGATGTCTTTTCAGTGGACAAGACGAATCTTCTCTTATCAATTCAGTCACCTTCTGACACAGTTAAATAAAAAGTTATTATTCCACCCAAAAGATAACTCATAATTAAAGAATCCTAACAGGAGATCTTTTTTCTTTGCCCTGATTTACACAGTGCTTTTCATTCCATTTGAGTTAAATCCCATACTGAAACCCTATCCTCACGCATTAAGTTAAAGCTAAATAAAAATATTTAACTTTCAAGGATGTTAGTGACATCATTCTACCAATTAATTCTGACCTCCCTCAGAGCAAAATCTGTTCCTAGAACGCAAGATGGTGGGGGGATCCCCAGCCCCTGCCTTTAGAAGAAACTTTTAAAACCTGATAAGCCATTTCAGACTGAAGCCACACTGGGGTTACCTCTCCTCTCCCCACAGACAAGCTGGTGCAAAAACAAAACTGACCTGAAGACAAAAGACTTTCTAATCCAGCACCAAACTGGTGGAGGAACAAAAATACATTTCTAACATTCTAAACAGTTCAGCTAACTGAACTCCCAAAACAAAGTAAAAATTAGAAAGCAACATTTTCTTTTGAGATTTACTGGGTGTCCACATGCACAGATGCTTTCAGATATTCTACCCATGTTCTCCTAGCGTTAAAGTGTACAGCCTTCTATGATTCCCCACTGCAATCTCAAGCCCTTGGTGTCTACACATTTCCAATCTTTACTATTTGCCTTTCATTCAACTTATGAGAAAAATGAAACAATACTCATCACAAAATCGGATTTTACACTGAGAAAGTGTTACACTTACTGTCATAGAACGGTACATAGCTGAATGTTTGTCTTCCCTCAAATGCCAGTACACTCTGCCTCACTGTTTTTCGATAAAAGTGTTCCATCCTCCTGCACACCCCTTGACCAGACCACAATACACAAAGGCAATTCACTCAGAAAACAGCCCCGACTATGAAGAATGCCTTGGTAGCAAGACTATCCCGAAGCAATGTACATGCATCCACATAATGGCACTTACGTGTTTCCATATTTCTGCCAATCTACCTGTAAATGTTTCCAAAATAAACTACCAACCACCCAGAGAGTCATTTCTGGCCAGGTGAAGAAAAAAAAAGGTTTCTATCCAGAAGTATTTGACTACTTGCTCATAAGCGCTTAATTGGTTGCTCTAAGTGGGTTTTGTCACAAATTCTTAGGAAAAGGTGTGCACCAGGAGACAATTTTGTCAAGTAGATGGTCTATCAGTGTCCCAAATCCAAGAAGTCAAGGGCAGCACTCAGAAGTGAAGAGGAGTTTCACCTTTCACACGTCAAACTCCTCTTCCCACCCCTGCCAAGCTCCACAAACTGCCACAAAGCAAAACCACAACTGGCTCCAAAATCAAGAGCGCTCTTCTGACCACAGTGAAGGGCCATGTAAGGTGGCTAAAGTCGGTACTCAACATTATGAATACTCGTGTGCCTCAGACCATACAGTGTTTCTAATATATTTTCCTTCCTTTAGATCTTTGACAATCTCCATGTCATAAAATTGGACCAAAAGTTACAGTTGTTCGGCTCGAAACCTCAACCAGGGCCAATTCTTTCAAAGTCACAGAAGGCCATCGTGATACACCTGAGCCCCCTTTAACAAGGGCTTTTGCTCAGAGGAGCCGGGGGTGGTGAGTAAAGGAGTTGTAGCGGGGAGAGAAACCAAGCTGACTTGTTAAAAAAAAAAGTTCGAGGCGGCCCGGCATACAACCGACCCCAAACGCCTCCTGCTCCTGCGCGCGTCCTACCTTGGACCTCTCCTTGACATAGTATTTGCCCAGCCGGCTCCCGCAGTACAGGACCAGCCGGTCGATGAGAGACAAGAGGAAGCTGATGGCCTCGCAACCCTCCTCGTTGAGAAACCAAGCTGACTTGTTAAAAAAAAAAGTTCGAGGCGGCCCGGCATACAACCGACCCCAAACGCCTCCTGCTCCTGCGCGCGTCCTACCTTGGACCTCTCCTTGACATAGTATTTGCCCAGCCGGCTCCCGCAGTACAGGACCAGCCGGTCGATGAGAGACAAGAGGAAGCTGATGGCCTCGCAACCCTCCTCGTTGTGCCCGATCCAGCTGCTTCACGCGCTCCAGGACGCAGTCACCCACCACCTCGCCCAGGAAGTTGTCCAGGTAGCAGAAGCCGATCTCGTGCAGGCACGGCACGATGTACTCCAGGGCGATTTTCTCCAGATCCAGCCTCATGATGTGTCCCAGAGGCATCTCGCCCTCAGCCTCGAGGTCGGGGACCCCCAGTGTGCACCTCGAAGGGAACGACCTACGTGAGCGAGAAGCTGAGGCTCGGGGAGCGGAGCCCTGGGTACAGCAACCTGCGGCGGCCACGGCTCCGAGCCACCGCAGCGCCGGGGACGAAGGGGAAAGTTGCTCGCAAACTCTAGGGAGAAAGGATCCCGGTTTGGGGAGCCGAGGGAGTTGCGCGGAGTTCCGCCACCCAGCGCGGGACTAGCCTAGTGAGGAGTCAGAGAGCCGTTTTGGAGCTGCGGATCCGCCACAGCTGCGGTGGCCCGAGGCGGGGAGAGGCTGAGGTCCGGCCCCTGAGCCGGCGGGCAGCACAGCCCTTCCCCGCCCGTCACCCCGCCTAGTCTGCCCATCCTGGAGGATCCCGCGAGCTCCGCGCCACCCTCAGTTGTTTGTGACCAGGGGAGGGGCTGAAGAACAGATGGAATTTTTAGAAGGCTTTCATTTGCATATTGGTTGCATAAAATCCCGTAGCAAACTTGAAAACCTGGACCCCTCACTCTGAAATGTAAATGAAATTAACAGCAGTTTACTGCTACATTCAGGACTAGTCACCTTCCAGGCCTTTGAGTACAATAATAAACCCAGGAGCAAATACATTGATGAAACAGAGGTCTCGGTCTAGCTTGAGCTGGTGCCTTTTCTTGTTGGCCTTTTCTCTGCTATTTGATCCCGGTCAGGAGGTTTTGGCCACGGAGGAAGTGGGAAGAAAAGAATTAAGATGCGTCATGTACATGTACCAACTTCCCATAATGAATGTAATCATTATACACTAGCATGTACTAGTAAATATTAAATTCTTAAAAATAATAAAAACACCTGAACGGACATTTTCCTGAGCCCCTACAGTGCGTGCAAGGCCCTATGTGATTAGCACAGTGAGTGATATGCACAGTGAGGAAATGCTGGGTCATAGCACTGCAGACAGCTAAATTGGTTAAAATATTATAGGCAGTCAGACAGGGCTGGGCCTTCAAAGAAGTCAGTGCTGAAGGCAACTGTGGCTGGAGGCGCATTCATTGAAGGCCAGACTTCAAGACAAAGAGAACTGACTATACCTACATACTTCCCCAAAAGATGAGCAGTGGCAATTGATATTCTACATAGCCATCAGTCACGTGGGTGAGGGACCAGGACCGGAACCCCTTCCTTCTGGGACAGTTCCCTGACCCATCCCTTCCAGGAAAAGTCTGTTCCTTCCATGTGTGCCTACTACATGACTTGCTTCCCTTTTTGACCCCCATTTAATCAATATTACCTAAGAGACTATATTTGTAATTTTATTGGCTGACCATAGTTTTGTCCCACCCCATATCCATCTTGTGATTTTCCACTGGATCAATATTACCTAAGTGAGTTACTTGTTCTTATTAGTTGACTATAGTTTTGTCCCACCTTATACCAGCGAGCGCGCGCACACACACACACACACACACACACACACACACATCTCATGGCTCTGCTCTATAAAACTCCCTTGAAAAGTGGGGTCTGTGGGCAACCCACTTCTGGGCCCCCCTGCTATCTCTCTTAGAAAGTATCTTTCTCTCAATAAATTCTTCCTACTGTTAACCTCCATTGTTCCTAGAATTCATACTTGGATTTTAGAGAACATGAACTCAGGGAATCGGACATCTAGCAAACTGAGAGTTATATTTCCCTTATATTATTTGGAGGTTCAAGTATCACAGGTCCTATATCAACTGTATTTGCTGAACCCTGCAAATACTATATTTTACTTTGCCAGATACTTTTACCCACTTACTATTCAAACTTCTTACTAAAATATGATGTTGTGAAATTCTACCTTCAGAATTAATCACATGCTCATGTAACAGTAGACACTGACATCCACACCTCCTCTACTTGCCCCCACAAAGAATACACAGTATTTCAGATCTCTGCTCTCAATTTTTCCACAAGCAGCTGCACTAATGGGAGGGCCGGATACTGCCTCGCAGACTTTTTAGTTATCTACAGATATGATAATTGCTTTTAGGATTTTTAATTCCTTTTCCTTTGAAACACCACCTCAGAAAAAATTCGGAAACTGCAGGCAAAGCCATTTCTATATTTTTAGTTCTAACTTCTTGAGTGCTTCTGTTCTTCATCTAACTCGAACGAAAGAATGTACTGGGTTTTCAGGTATAAGTGTGTACACCATTGCCTACAGCTTTTTCAGTTTATTCTCTTTCCAGTACACTTCTCTCTGCCACTCAGTGGGAAAATGTGTAATATAGTTCAGGCCAAGAACAAAAAAAGCAGAGGAGAAAAGGGTGCTGCTACTTAATAAAAGCAGAGCACATGATCAGGTAAGAACCTGTGGAGTATTCCTGAGGGGCAGTCAATGGTAGAGGCTCTAAGAATCTTTGAGGAAACTTCTAGTTAAATTGAGATGAGGTCCCTACACATGCTGGTGTTTCTGGTATAATCATTCAGCAAGAGGTGCCCTTCCTTGGGGTAAAGGCTGGAATTGGCCAGTGTTCAGGCAGCTGCCCTCTGTGAAGTCCCACAACAGCTCAACGATGACAAGAGTCATCATTCTTGGAACCCCAGTGCCTAATCATAGTAGATGCTAATAAATAGCTCCAGGTAACCCAATGTCTGACCTGAGCCATGCAACTACCACAAAGGATTGTAGGCTGGGTCCTGCAGAAAAGGTCTTCTTACAAGAGGCAATGGGGAGGCTCCAAGATGAGAACTTGTTGGAATTGTCAAGCTGATTAGCCTGGCCCAGAACAGAAGGTCTGAGGCCAGTGGAGGGGCACTTGTTTCTCAGCTTTGTCTCCTTAGACAACCATGCTAGATGCTCAAGCTCCAGGATGGGAAACAGAGTGAAAGTTGGCAGGCTGTTTATTTGCAGGCGTGAATTGGAGATGCAAACAAGGTGTGTGTGTGTGTGTGTGTGTGTGTGTGTGTGTGTGTGTGTGTGTGATGGGG